GTCCACAATACTACAATGATGATGTGACCCTGGCTTTTCAGCCAGGCTAACTGTTGTAATGCAGCCAGGCTAACTGTTGTAATTGTCACTAGCCTGCCAATACTCCATGTATATGTTCTAATAGAGGATACACTAGACAAGGAAATGCTGTGACTTAACCTCCTGATGAATTCTTCAATGTTAAATAGGCATTTTTGTATTTATGCCTTCTACTTCTGACCGCTATCTGCAAAAATCTGGACTGATAATACACAAAGGGGCTTTTATTATTGTAATTGTTCTAGTAAAGTATAGAACAAGGCTGCTCCTTTTCTCTTTTGTCCAGTGTCTTTTTCACATGGGTTTTTGGTACATCTGGTTCTTGCCTGACTTTAGGTGATCTTTTACGCTAGGGGTAGGCAACCTTAGCACCTTCATCTGTTGTGGAGCTATACGTCCCCATGAGGCATTGCAAGACTCTGCCAGTCTCAGAGTCAGGGGCATGAAGGGATTTGTAGCTTCACCGCTGAAGTGCCAATATTGGCTACCCTGTTTCAAATGCTCTCTTGGTCCCCGTTCACACCTAGACGGTTTGTAGCTGTTAGGAACGAGCTGCAAAACGCTCAACACAAGAAATGCCATGATTTTCAATGGCCCCTGTTCACACCTCAGTGTTTGGAAGGCAGCAGCAAAATGCCGACCAAACGCAGAAATAAAGTGCAAGAGTTTATTTTTGCAGTTTGCAGCTCATTATATAATATATGCGCACACACACACACACACACACACACACACACACACACACCTCAGGTTGTGATCTTTTGCCTTTTCGATGGCGTTTACTGTGCAGTACTGTACAGTAAATTCCCAGTTTTTCGGCACCCATGGATCGGTAGGTGTCGGATAATTGTAGTTTCTGGTTGCTTAAGTGTTAATAGTAACTAATCAAGCAACCAGCCCCCGAGGTGCTCAGCTTTCCCATTCACCTGCCGGCTAGCCTCCGTAAACAGCTGGGATCAATAGCAAGACTGCTATTGGCTATTTCAAATTGCAATAGCAGGCTGGATATTGCACCCACTGAGCAGAGGAGCGGACCTGAGTGAGAGCGCTCTCTCTCTCTCTCTCTCTCTCTCAAGTCCACTCCTCCTTTTAGTGGGCGGGTTTTCAATAGCCATATTAAATAGCCAATAGCAGTCTTGCTATTGATCCCCATTGCGTACTGTCCGCTGACCGGGGCAGTACAGTGCACAAAAGTACTCTCCTGGGTTTATCAGAACGTAATCTGATCGTAAACTGAGGTATGTTTTTTTTGTTCCTATACCGTGTGATATCATTCAATGAAAATAGGAAATCTTGTCGATTCATGCTGTGCAGGTAAAATCTTAGCATTGTAGACCCAGAAAAAGTTTTTCTTTTCTGTAGAATATTTTTTAGATGGGTTTTGGCTGTGGAATACTAATATTGGTTAGACACATTGTTTCAGCTTGAAGTTGCCATGACAACTCCAGTCTGCATTTTTCCTCTTC